CTATTTTTATTTTTTATTAACAGTGAGCCCGTACTATATGTGAAATAAAAATAATAAATTTAATTATAAAACTTTCTATAATGCCGTATGTAATTTATTATTTATATTTAAATTTTACACTTTCAAAATGATTTATATAGAGAATTATAATATTCTATATGTTGTTAAATGAAATTTTAAAAGTTGATTGATATAATAATAAATTTTATTTTGCTAAAAGAAATGTTATATATGAATTTGAACATTCAAAAGGAGTGCTCGTCTGTTTATATTTTGCTATATTAAGTAACTAGCAAATTATCTGTGCCTGAAAGCACTTATAATACAATTTGACACCAATCAAAATCAATCTCTCATACAATTGACCTACATCTCCCATTTCCTTCCCAATTTATGTAACCATAGTTTATTTTAAATGATTGAAAAAAAATTGTACACAACCAAATGATCAAAACTGAGTTTTAGATCTGATTAAAAAAAATATTAACTTGTTATTAAATCGAACTCATCAATCAGAAAAACACAAAAGTAATTTATCTAATAAAAAGATGGTAGAGAGGAGAACTCCTAAATTATTTTAAAAAATATATAATCGAAGTAATGTTTAGTCAAGAATACATGTGTTTATCTAGTCTAATAAAAAGTAATTTGGTCTAATAAAAAGATTTGTCATTGTCATCGAATCCACCAGTGGAATCCATAGCTATCGTCACCCTGCTAAAATGAAAAAGATTTAGAAAAAAAAACAAATTAAACAAAATGCTAAAAAAATAATAGATTAGAAAGTAGTTTTTTGAACAAATTAAAAATTATAGATTAGAAAGTAGTTTAAAACAATATAAAAATATATCTATGTATTACTCTCTCTTCCACTATCAATCCTGCTTTTGACCAAACCATGAACAATGGCAAGGGGAGGCAAAGGTTTCTGTGATGATAGGGGAGGGATAGGAATGGGTTACCATGCACAATTACCATTGTGCAAAAAGAGAGAGTGCACCAAAGCTGAAAGTCCAACAAGAAAATAGCTAGAAATTTACAAACTTATGAAGTCTCTGTTTGGGAAGTTGAGATTAGGGTTTTTTTGTTAAGATAGTCACAAAAAAATAAAATAAATTTTTTAGCTTAATAAGACAAAATATCACATCTAATTAATAATCATTTCATTCTCTCTCTCACAAAAAGTCAAAAAGTCTTTTCTAAACGAGACTTTTTAACCCAAGCTAAAATAACTAAAAAGTTAAAAAGCCAACCCACTTTCCAAACAAACCGAACACATTCCAAGAGATAAATAAACAATTTCTATAGCGAGTAAAAGTACAACATTTTTTTGATAACTCAGGCAATCAATTATTATAGCAACTCATTTAAATTTTCACAAACCGAGAATCCTACATTTAGTGCAAAAAAAAAAAAAAAAAAGAGATGGAGAGAGATGGGGAGTGAATTGCAAATAGTTGGGGACAGAGAATGGAGAAAAAGAACAGGAAAAAAAAACTTGGGCAGAAAGTTTATTTTGAATCAAACAAATCCAACTGTTAAACTCATAGACGGATTGATCTCATCAATTCTAACCAATTGTGTGAGAAAAATATTTTCAAATACCATTTTGTTTTAGGAAGAGAGAATAACAAAAGAGATGGAGAGTGTATTGCAAATAGTTATGAAGAGAGAATAAAGAAAAATAATAGGAAAAAAATAAAATAAAAGAAAAAAAAAAAGAGAGGAAGGGGCTAGGAAAATGATGAACCTTCCCTAGGCGGGAAATTTATTTTCTCACCATTAATCTCATAGATGGATTAATATCAACCGTTCTAACCAATTGTCTGAGAGATATATTTTCAAAAACCATTCTATTTTATTATATAGATATACTAGTGTATGCCCGTGCCTAAAGGCACGGTGTCAATAATGTTTTGTTTGAATAATTTTCATTTATCACTCTCTCTTAAGCTAAAAACATTGAGAATCAAGTATACCTAAAATTCTGTTTTCCCATGACATACAAAAAATGAATAGATAACATACATTTGAGCAAGAGGATCCCCTTTATTATAGACACAACTTCAAAATAAGAGGAACAATAAAATGGTGTTCTCCCTTTCGAGCACACCATGCCAATACGAAAATAGTATTCTTGATCAAAATCTAAATAACAAACACCTCCAAATGTCTACCTCTCAAACCAAACCAAATCTATATAAATTTACATAACGACAATCTGCCTCTAAATAATCTTTAACTTTATACAATGTCAATCATTTTCAAAGTTTGTCAACGATAAAACCAAAAATAGTGTAAATTCTGCCATCGAGATTGTTGCTCACTCGAGATTGCCCTTCTTTTAACACTCATCAATCAAAGAAGTACATGTTTAGTTTACACAACAATAAATACAAAATCATTAGAGAGATAAGAAAAACTTAAGCTTAAAAAAATGTAGACCTGTAAAAAAGGAGTCAATATTACCATTCGCTTCTAGTCTTCAATTCAAAAAGCCAATATAAGTCAATATTACCTATAAAATACAGAAAAAAACCAATATGATAATTAAAAGAGACTATCCAATTCAAAACAAACACATGCACTGTCACACTAATGAAAGGTTTTTTATAGACCACCTAATTCAAACTAAACACAAACAATGTTTTGTTTGAATAATTTTCATTTATCACTCTCTTAAGCTAGGAACATTGAGAATCAAGTATACCTAAAATTCTGTTTTCCCATGACATACAAAAAATGAATAGATAACATACATTTGAGCAAGAGGATCCCCTTTATTATAGACACAACTTCAAAATAAGAGGAACAATAAAATGGTGTTCTCCCTTTTGAGCACACCATGCCAATACGAAAATAGTATTCTTGATCAAAATCTAAATAACAAACACCTCCAAATGTCTACCTCTCAAACCAAACCAAATCTATATAAATTTACATAACGTCAATCTGCCTCTAAATAATCTTTAACTTTATACAACGTCAATCATTTTCAAGGTTTGTCAACGATAAAACCAAAAATAGTGTAAATTCTGCCATCGAGATTGTTGCTCACTTGAGATTGCCCTTCTTTCAACACTCATCAATCAAAGAAGTACACGTTTAGTTTACACAACAATAAATACAAAATCATTAGAGAGATAAGAAAAACTTAAGCTTAAAAAAATGTAGACCTGTAAAAAAAGAGTCAATATTACCATTCACTTCTAGTCTTCAATTCAAAAAGTCAATATAAGTCAATATTACCTATAAAATACAGAAAAAAGCCAATATGATAATTAAAAGAGACTATCCAATTCAAAACAAACACGTGCACTGTCACACTAATGAAAGGTTTTTTATAGACCACCCAATTCAAACTAAACACAAACATTGTTGCAAAATAATAATTGGTTACCCAATGCATACACTACGAACAAACACAACACATTGTCAACACAGATACAAATTAATGATTGATAAAAACATTAATTTACAAAAATCAATCAATCTTTTCTTTGGGTTTTATTTTTTTCAACTCTTTCTTTTTGGAACTTCCTTTAATTGATCACATAAGGTTATGGGGAAAATTTAAGAAAGAAGTGTTCTGAAGAAAGAATTTAATAAAATAAAATTCAAAAAGCAAACTCTTCACTTGGTAATTCAACAACAAATTCTAACTCATTTAATTCCTCAATCATTTACAAATCAATACAGCCTAAAAAACCCTATTTATTTTGTCCAAAAACCCAAAGCCATTAATTATATCAATTTAGTCCTATCAGTTTTGTGTATGTAACCCTCCATCACCTTCTTCAATCTTCACCTAGACCGATTCAGATTCATTTTGCATCCAACCTTAAATTAATTTTGAATATTTGTTAGCAATACATGACCATAAGCAAAATATCAAACCAACCCCTTTGGATCTATTTGGTTAGCTCATGGGTAGCAACCAACAAAATTTAGATTGAAATTAAATAAACTATAAGACTAAACTGATATAATAAAATTCAATGGATAAAACAACAAATCAACAACATGCAGTAAGGGGACAATTGTTTACAGGGTCTTAAAAAAGTAATAGGCAATGTGAAAACTATATATATATATTTTTTATCACAGCTTACCAATCCCCACTTCCAAATAAAGGGGGAAAAAAAATAGAAAAACACAAAAAGCCCAATAAATATAGGAAAATCCATATCAGTATTTAAAGAGTATTTAGCAAACTCAGAAGTATTTATAGATCCGTAGACATTTATGAGTATTTAGCAAACAATAGCAAAACTCATAATATAGAAAAACTCATTTTATAAATAAAAAATTAGCACCCATTTCAAAAATTAACACCCATTTCTCATTAAAGAATCAAACATTTCACTAACTCTGTGTGTGTGTGTGTTGAGTCAGTACCTTTGAGACCCAAAAATAGTAGGAAGTGTCTGGTTCATCCTCCCCAGTCACAACATATAAAAAAGAAAAAAGAAAAAAAAAATGTCACTAAGATTACTTGCCTCCAATTCTTAACTAATGTCTGATTCTTTGCCTTTCATGAACTCTCTCAATAAGTCATCCTCTTTCTCCGAGGCCAGACACTATTCTTCTCTCATTGAATAGCCAAACATTACTTCAAGATGACTAACTAATAACAGCCAAATATTTGAAGAAAAAAAAAAGAAACAACCAATAGGGTTAAAACTGGTTTTTGTTACTCTAGACCTCTTTACTGTTTTTCTTTTACAAATTCTTTCTAGTCCACATTGAGCCAATCTCAGCATTGTTCATAGAGTCTTACAAAATAACTGGCAAAGTTGAAAGTATAATTTTTTTATTTTTTTTATCACAACTTACAATCCTCACTCTGAAAGTAAAATAAAAAAATGAGAGGAGAAGAAGAAGAAGAAAGAAAGAAAGAAAGAAAGAAAATAAATAAATAAATAAAGGAAAGAATAGGTTCAGCACTTGTACAAAATAAGAGATGATTCTCACCCAACGAAACTAAAATATATTGAGTTGAGTCACAGGGGTAAAGGGAAGAAGAAAAAAAAAAATTGACTTCAACCCATCCAATCAAAATTTTAATTTATTATAATCATATTTGTTTGTCACCTCTATTTTAAAATGAATGGCATTTTGTAACATTCCTGTTATGGCAGTTTGTGTGTTCCTGTTATGTTGATGTAGAATCTATAATGTCTATAATGGCCATAAGTTATGGCAGTTTGTGTGTTCCTGCGCGTTCCTGAAGGCACTGACAACAATTTTTTTTGATATCACGTGCTACGAAACTCAGTGGTAATAAATCAATTCAAAATGATAATATTACTCTGATTTAAAACTTCACCTATAAGAAACTGAAATTGTTTCTACACATTGAATTAGCGAAAGCATTTATAAATTTCATTTATCATTTTCATATTTTTGAAATCAAAACCATTTAGAAACACATTTAAATCTAACCCATTTTAAAAAATCATTACATGAAGATAGGTTTCTAAAATCTAAACCATTTCAAAAAATCATTACATAAAATTCACGGCTTTTTCTCACCTCATACCCAACACCACCTTTGCCTCAAACCAATTAATTGACCTGCCTACTAAAAAAAGAAAAGAAAAAGGGATTAGTTAGTTTGTATGCTTTGTAGGTGATTGATAGCATGCTAGTTATTAAGTGAGGATAGAGAAAAGTGAAAAAATAAAACTTTATTATAAACATGCCCAATAAAACTTAAGAATATAAAACTTTATTGATAGCCCGTGCCTGAAGGCACGCCCAATAAAACTTAAGAATATATTTTAATATTATTATAGACATTTGGTTTCTATTAACAAAAACCAAAGTGTAAGCTTCACATCAACACTGAAGTGTAAATCGCTTGCTAAACAAAGCACACAAACCAAAGCTATTGTACACATGTTAATGCTTTATAATCCCCCAAAAAAAAAAAAATTACTAAACACCAGATAAAGCACACCAGCAAGTGGTTTGCAATCCCACAAAAATTAAAACTAAACACCAAACAATGCACACCAACCAATACTCTGCAATATAAAAATATTAAAATTAAAATAGACACCAACCAATACTCTGCAATTCAAAAAAATTAAAATTAAAATGCACATTAGTTAGTGCTCTACAATCTCACCAAACAATGTACACCTCCTAGTGCTACTACTGTCAATCACATTTTAACAGTTCTTTGCAAATTATAAACCCGAAATATAGTGAGAAAAATAGAGAAAAAAAAATGCATTGCTATAATTTTTTTAACCACAAAGCACTCCGATATAAAGACCGCTTAAATGGTGAAATTTACTCTATAAAAAAAAATCCCTAAAAAATAGCCAAATTAAAAGGATTCGAAAAGAATAAATTAGATGGATTAAAGTCATTTTGAAATAAAAAATAACTAATGTTTGGCTATTTCCAAATCACATCACATAGTAAGCAATGAACTTTCTAACTGCTAAAAAATATGCTAATTCTTGTGGTACCTGCTCCCATGTTCTTCACCTTTTTTCCTCATCTACTTTTACTCTCTTCTCTAAAGCACTTGATAAAAATAAGCACACATATTTTCTCTTACCAATTGAATCATATTTTGAAAAAAATGAGCTCATATGTAGGAAGAACAATGGGACAACAAAAGCAATACACTATGATTTTGTTAGCTTTTATTCCAATGGGGATTAAAACAAATGTGATAGAGACGGGGAAGGGAAAAAAACGTTTGCAATTTATAGTTTCTCTGTAAATAAAATGGATATAAACCAAAAACCCAAATAAATTCAAAAGAAAGAAAGATTAAGGAGAGAAGAGGAGGAGAGAGGTGGAGGGAAAAAAAAAGCACAAAATACAAAAAATCGCTTAGAGTTTATACCTTTGATTATATCGAAAACCCATAAATTGATGACCTACAACAAAAAGACACAACACAACATGAAAATGGCGGAAAGAAACAAACTGAAATTTAGGAAAACTAATTATTAAAGGGAGAAAGGCACTCCCATGTATACTTTAAATGGAAAATATTGACAAAGAAATCGAAATTGTTTCCTAAAAAATGGCCAAAGTAAAAGGCTTCCAGAGCCATCCAATAGATAATTTACTTGTGACTAAAGCCATTCCCAAATATATTCTAATCCAAACTTAAACCAATGCCTTATAGATAGAGTGTAACTTTATGGTAACTGTTACATAAAAGAACAATCCAATCCAATAACACATAGCCCAAGAAGTATAATTCTGACAAAACAAAATTCTCAGACCAACCTCAATGTAAAATGCAACTACTCCCAAGTCTTCTTATTAGTCCCAGCAATAATATGTCCCAGAAAAACCACCACTCTTCAGGCTATCAAATATCAATACAATTTACCCATTAAAAATCAGCATATGTATTGATTAAAAATCAGCATCCAATTGTGCATGTAGTGACAAAAACCCAATAGACTTCATGTGTGAAATAATGAGAAAAAGAGAGGGCTAACCAAACCAAAAAGAGAACGTTGGTTTAAAAAACAAAAAACAAAAAAAAAAAGTGACAAAAACCCAATAGGCTTTATATGTGAAAGAATGAGAGAAGAAGCGAGTGTTAACCAAAACCAATAGAGCATGCTGTTTTCTTTTTATAATTGTTATAATTTGAAATGTCAATTTTATTGACTAAGTTCTAATGGTTAAAAGGAAAATTGACATTTCAGCCAAATTGTCACTCACACCTTGAAACACATCACAAATCAGTAGAAAACACCAGCACCCAGAAACAGCCAACACCAGCAAACACGACAGAGATGGGCGACAGGGAACAGAAATCTAACCATATTTATAACATCTATAAATACCCACAAACCTGAAATCCATGTATTAAACAAACAGAAAAAGCAAAATTATTTATTTATTTTGCTAGGCCACCTGTGGTTTTTCATTTGGAAATGACTGATAAAGCACGTATTACTGGAATTTTGCAAAGTAAGTGTTTTGTCTGTTTTTTTTGGCCTTTCATGTCTGGGGCTACTTTATGTCCAATTATTTATTTCTTGCTTGTAGATTTTTATTTATTTCTTTATTTAATTTTTTTATTATTTTTATAAATTCATTTTTTTAGCTGCCTTATCACTTGATTGTACCACATTACCTATATGATTTGTTAGTTGTATGCTTAATGCTTTTCTAAAACTGTTATATCTTTATTGCTTTCTAATTGGCTTCAGGGCTTTTCCTCAGGTGGATCTGTGTGACCTGGATTAGATGGAGCAGGTAAAGAACTTCTCATTCCTGTTATTTAGTTATTTTTGTATTTTATTAGACTGATGTCTTTGAACATTGCAGTACGAAAAAGTTGAGAAGATTGGTGAAGGAACCTATGGCGTGGTCTATAAGGCTCGGGACCGAGTGACCAATGAAACTACAGCTTTAAAGAAGATTAGTTTGGAGCAGGAAGATGAGGGTGTACCAAGCACGGCAATTAGAGAAATTTCTCTATTGAAAGAGATGAAGCATGGAAACGTTGTCAGGCATGTTTATGTTGATAGCACTATGTTTTTAGTATGAGCCATTAAATATCCTGAATGTACCGAATTGAGCTACACAACTATAAAAAAAATCCTAGTCTTGAGCTACACAACATGTATGTACCGAATTGAGTCAAACTGTCTTTCATCCAAATATTCTTTGTTTTGTGACTATATTTATTTGTACTCTTCTTGTTATTATTGGTGTATTTAATTTAATAACTCCTTTCATTTATTTGCATACTTCTATGTATCATACAGGCTTTAAGATGAGCAAAATGTATATTTTTTTGACAACTTCATGAGTTGGTCTACATTGTCGACTGAAATTGCATCCTTAGAAAAATTGAAATTGGATGAGAGTAGGAACAATCCTTATGAAAAGCGTGACGTAGGAGGAGCAACATGATTTGATGATGTGCATTTCTAATTCAAAGTCGTTTCTGAATTCTGTATTCTGACAGCTGTTTATGCGAGCATGCACCAATAACAGCATGTTTCTAGCTTGTGCTTTAAATCAATCGTAAATTATATACACACAAAAAAAAACATGAAATTACTTTAAATCAATCACACACTTAAAATTCAATACAAAACATGCAAATTCTAAAAACAAACTTCAAAATTCAAATAATTAATAAACAAAACTTTCAAAAACCAAGCTTCCTTATTATATAGATGATTTAAAGCAATACCCTTTGTTAATAAAACAAAACATATTTATAAGTTTGTTGACCCTTTATGTTTCAGTTGTCAGTAATAATTTAATCTATCTATCTAAATCTATCTACCTTTGCCTAATCAAATCTTTGTTAGTTGAAATGGTCACTGTCTAAGCCTCCCTACACTTCAACAACTTCGGAGTTAGTAGAGATAGAGGCCAATGGCCATGTTTCATTACTTTCATTGGATTAGCAATTGGAAGGAAGTAAACCATGTTTGGACGTGAAAATAGAATTATTAAATTGTGGATCATAAATTTAAATAAGAATTTTTTTTAAAAAAAAATGAGATAAATATGAATAAAATATAAATTAATTTTTTTTTATTTCTATTTTACATTCCAAATCTCTATTCAAATTCATCGTCTAAACATAGCATAAAAGAAAATTATTCGGTACCCATGAGACATCATATGACACATTTCACACACCAATCACAAACTAATAGTATGTCTGTTGCTATTTTTTCAGAGATTGACTCTCCTTTATACCTTATTTATATATATCTCTCCACACTCTTATTATGGGGCTTAATTCTAAAATCGTACAAATCATCTGAATCATCTACCTCATCGAATCATCAGTGCAGGTTTAAAATTGAACCTTATAAAAAAAATATAAAAAAATATAAAGAGATAAGATATGAAGGAACCTATCCCTCTGATAATATATATCTAATCATTTACCTTAGAGTTTGGAGGGTTCTTTCGGAATTTGGGTTTGCTGCCTCTTCGCTTCTGTGTATGAGGCTAACGCAAGTCACGTGCCGTCAACGGAGTGCAATCTTCATCAGGTTTGCTCACCTGAACCGTATGTATACCGGATTATTTCTTTGTTGAACACCATTGTTCCCTGTTCCTCTTTTGCATCCTCTTTTGCAACGGCTCCGTCGTCAATGGGGTTTGAGGCTGCCATTGCTGATGAAGATTAGGAGAGAGAGGGAGGAAGAGAGATGATGAAGAGAGTAATACGGGGTTTGGGGCTCAGTCGCTGGCAAGGGTTGGGCGGAATGGGCTCCGCTGGAGGTAGAGAGAGAGGGAGGGTGCCGTCAGAGAGATGGAGGGAGGAAGAGAGAAGATGATGAGAGGGAATAGGCTCCGACAGGGAAGGTTGGGCTCTGATAGAGAAAAGAGAGACAGAGAGAGGGGCTGCGTTTTCAAAATTTGAAATCAAAAAGAGATAAATGGGAGAGACAAATGGGAGTGAGAGAGAGTGAGAGGCTGTCTGTTGAAAATCAGAGACAAATGGGGTGAGATATTTTGAGCCATTAGATTAAATCAATCGAACGATTCAAATTTTGACACAGGTATAAAGGTCACATCAAAATTCAAATACCGAGCTTCCTTATTATATAGATATATTTTTTAATAATTGAGAGCCCACCCTAGATAGAGTCCTCTGAACCCATGAACGGAAAAAATGGAAAGGGGGTTGAAACCCTAGATAACGTTCTTTGGACCCATGAACAGGAAAAACAAAGAGGGGGTTGAACCCCTGATCAGCAACATGGAGCGCATACCCGCTTATAAACTCAAATGGCCCATCGGGCGAACTTGTTTGTAACCCTGGGTTGGCATGAGTTCTTCAATTGGTATTAAGGCTCCAGGTTTAACTGAATTGTGTGTTCTTTTGTGTTTGTAGTGGTTGTGGCACTTGTTAAGGCTTATAATCATTGTTCCTCTGCTAGACATTTTAGGTGGTTTGATACCAGGCTGTCTAGGTTTTAAAAAAAAATGTAAGCTTCTGGGAGACAAAATCAGTATTATGTTACAACAATTCAAAAGCATATTGACGATCCAGGTACTTAAACATTTGAGAAACAGAGAAACCAAAGATTCAACAATTCTGAATCTGACATTTGCGCCAGGATAGAAATACAGAATTTGTCTAGACTGGACCAAACTACTACTAATGCAACTAGTTGACTTTGAAATTGGTGACAATCTTATATGATTTGGAGTTGTAAACATTGAAAGTTGCGGTAAGAAGAGAGCCTGAATGACTTGAGTACTCTATAAATTCAAGGAACGCTGGAGTCTAGGTTGTGTATTCAGCATTTATTTTGACATAGTCGTAACTTAAATCACAGCCCCACGCAATTCCATTTCCTGGCCCCTCACCTGTTGAAAGGAAGAAGCAATGCAAAACAATCAAAATCAGAATGAAACCATTGCCAAAAACAAGAAATGTATCTAGCATTTCAGTCACCACCACAGAAAGCATGGATGACAAGGAGATGATGATGCACAATGCCATGCAAATCAATCCTCACAAGGTCACAAAACTGCATGTAATCCAGGAACAACCAATAGGATGGTCAAGTGAAATGAGCTGCCAACAAATCTGTGTAGTGCTTTTTCATTTATCTTTTTTTGGCAAGAAAATTTGCAGCTAGTGTTGATGTTAACAATGCAGGCATTTTTTTTTATCGGCAAAAAAAGAATAATTATTGATGAAAAAATTGAGTACAAGGAGTACACACTCCAATACATCAATAAAAGAGGAAGCTATGGTGAAAAATGCTTAAAGAGCGTGTCCCAACTAGGTTGGCACAAGCACCCAAGCCTATTATATGGCCTACAAAACAGCCCCACAAAAACAAAACAGAAAAAAACAACCCAACACCCAACTCAGCAAGTGAGCAACAAAACCAACAAAACAAAACAAAACAAAAAAAAAAATCTAATTAACCAAACTAAAACTAAAACTAAAACTAAACAAAACCAGCCCACAAACACCAGGCAAGCACCAAATAAACTTTGCAATCACCCTGGCAGCAGAATCCTAACAATCGAGCACCATCCACAATTCAAACATGATAAAAACATCTTTCACTAGCTTTCTGTCAGCAACCTCAGTTCAGCATAAATGCCTTTCACCCTTGTCCACCAAAATTCCAGCAGATCAAAATTACAAGCAATTCCTGATAGAGATCCAAAATCAATTAAACTCAAGTGACCTTGAATTGCTCTAAACTTACCTGACCCCCAAGCTTGGATTGTTCAGCAAAAATAAGTAAAGAACAAATAAAAAGATATTATAACACCAAGCAGCCACCATTCTTCAAACTCAAGCCTTCCAGATGGGCATAATCAGCAAAGGTACATAATGGTTAAAATACTTCCAAATTCTAGAGACACCAGGCAGCCACGAACTGCTCAACACCTTCCCAAGCCTCCCAAGATGCACTTGTTTGGCAAATATTATCCATCCAGAGCATATAGACTAAGGAACCTTGTTTATCAATAAAAGACTCCCCGACTTCACCAAACCACCATATTTTTTTGGGTACATCAGAGGTTGTAGTTTGGAGAGGGGCAAGACTCAAACCCTTGATCTAGTGAGATACAAAGATCTTGGCCAACTAAACTAGAACTAGTTGGCTCAAACCACCACATTTTAATGAAGTTAGAGCGATGACTGACTGTATTAAGTCTGTCAGATGTATATTTTTTATCCACCCAGATCATTGGATGAGATTCTTTGTCAGACAACAGCTATCGTGAGCAAAAATATCAAACTACAGTTTGTTTCACCCACTAACAAGTTTGCACCCTATGCATGTATATCATACATGAAGGATTGGCAAAGTTATTACATGAAGTAACCCATCATTCTAAATAGAGAGAAGTACAAGTGACTAGAGAATAAATGGTCATGCCCAAAGCTTACTTTGGTCAGACGGCATCTTAGTTCACATTTTTTTATGAGATATGCAATGCAGACTATAGAAAAAAATGTTTTAACTTGTATTAATATGCATAGTTTTTGGAAACTTACCGATAGATATTTGAATTTCAACTGTACCATGAGTCTCGCCAGCCTTTCTGAGATAATTACTAGCTGTAGCCCTGGAAAATTTACACATTGTCAGATTACTGTTAAGAGGAACCCCTGCCTGAAAGAATGGGGAAGAGGGCAGGTAGGGGTGATACTACGAGAGAGAGGGAAGAAAAGAATAAGCAAGAGAAGATGATAAGCTGAAAAGAAAAGGAAAAAAATAAAAGAGCTCATATTACTTTCGCTTCTCCCTCGTGAAAGAAGACATTGGGAAAAAAGAAAAATCAAAGAATTAAACCAATTTACCTCCCTTGTGGAAGATGGCACTGCGAAAGAAATGAAAAAACTAAAGCCTCTCTCTCTCTCTCACACACACACACACACACAATAATGCATCTGTGCATGCATACAAAGACAGTATTTCTGGGTTTTGGAGAGAAAGATAGTTTGTAGATTGGAAGTTGGGAAAATGAGGTAGAAATGTTCCATAAGAAAAGGAAATATCTGATCATAGTGTTGAGGTAGAGAGTTTAGATCCCTTGCTGTGGCGTACTATTGCTGCTCCCTCTGCCATTCCAGATCTTTGAGATTGAAACAAAAAGAAAGGGGGTAAGACAGAAAACAGTGCAGATTAAGGAGTAGACTTTTAACATCATTGAGGAATGGGCCACATACCCAAAAAAATCATTGAGAAATTGTGAGGATTCTGTGTCTAGATTTCAAGTGGAAGAAAGGTGATGGTGCGCTAATAGATTGATTGTTCTACTTGATTATAAGCTGAGATAGGTTTGTGATTAAATGAGGAAAGCATCGGCAAAATCGACAGGGATTTTCCAGTTTTGTCATCTGAGTGGGAAGTCTTGGTCAATAGAGGTTCATTTCCAGAAAAATGGGGTTGGGTGGGGGGGAATTGAGAGTGCAGTTGTTGCCTACTACTTTTTGGATTTACTCTATGAGACCAAGGCAAAGCATGTTTTCAAAGGTGATTGGTGGGTTGGAAGGCGTGATATTTGTCAAAAGGGGGTAGACTAATCAAGCGCACTTTATCAAGGGATGTAAAGTTGAGTCCAACAATTTAGTAGGAAGGGGAGCAACCGAATGTTCATAAATCCACTCACCACACTTGTGAAAGCTGATAGCATGACTTTACCCAAAACTTGTGGAAAGACGTAGCATCCAATTCAACCCCATTATAGGATCACAGCTTGAAACATGCATGGGAAATTGGGAACTTGATTAGAGTATTCAAGATTTACATCTTGCATATTTCTAAGGGAAATTAAGCATAGTCTTTGGTGGAGGATCTTCTTCTATATAACATCTCGGAGTGTTTGGAGAAATACTGCATAGTGTTTGCAACTCTGGATGTTGCTATAAGTGAAATTATAAGAAGCAACAGAGACTTAACATTTAATGTATTAATATTCTATTTCCATTACTTTCCCCCATTCTCAAAATTTAAGCAAACCACAAAAAATAAAAACAAAAGAGAAAATAGGTTGCTAACCTGTCAAATGGAAGTGGTTGCCCACCATCCATAAGCAGAGTATCTCCAAGTGATATACAGAGTTTATTTGCATCAAAAGGAATCCCTGCATAGCCAGCTGCACAAGCAATACGTCCCCAATTTGGATCCCTGCCATATACCGCAGCCTAATAACAACACAGATCACTTAGAATTAGCGACACTTTGGCTGTGTTTGGATGATGGATTTTGGTAGGAATTTGGAAAGGGAATGGGAAAAGGTTGGCGAAATGTAAATGAAATATAACTACATTTCACCCACCTTTTCCCTTTCCATTTCCAAATCTCTATCCAAATCCATGATCCAACACAGCCTTACGTAATAAATAAGTTCAATCATAACAGATGTTTTGTGTATAGAACCGTGCCTTGGCAAGTGAAGAAGATGCCACTGAGCGTGCAACCTTTGCTGCTTCAGCTTCACTGCCTGCACCAGTTACTCTGACCTGTACATCTAACAAAGAATTAGCTGGAAAATATAATGACCTCTATGCCCACACAAATGGAAACATCCAGTTACTTCTGTCCACATCATGCAATTGACAAATGAAATTACACTTGTAACATAACTCAAAGAAATATAATTAATTGGAGAACTATAATCAAATCCAAAATCAGATCGACTAGCAAACAAAAGTAGTTACATAAAGCACTTTAAGATTGAATACTAATAAAGAAAAGAAAATGACTGTTGGCACATAAATTTCAACTAAATTTATGACACGTATAGAGCCTATGATAGGAATGTTGTAAGCAATTACTTCCTAAAAAAGATCAATATGATCTGTTGAAGTGCATAAATAAAATGACGATGTATCTCAACGATGTTATTCAAGATACTCAAATGACACGTGGAGCCCACGAAAGATGACACCTATAGAGCCCACAGCAAGGACACTACACAGGATGAAACTCCAAAGATCAATCCGATTAATCGGATACACGATTAATCATATAGCGCTATCATTCAAAATTCAAATGGCACTATCATTTAATTTGAAATTCAAATTGAGGATGAGGCATTCTTATCACCTGGATGGCCCTCTATAACTATGAGGACCATCACACAAGATGAAAATCAGAAGTGAGAAAATCAGAGAGAGAAAGAGAAAGAAATTAAGAGCTAAAGAAGTCGTTACAAGAAAGAAGAAGAGAAATCCAGAGAACTGAAGAGTCTACGCTACAAACGCAGAATGGCGATGAATAGGTAAAGGGTTCCAAACTCAAGAATTGTACTTTGTATTCGAGGGTTCAAAACCCATAACAATTTCAATAAAATATTTATTTTTCTTAAATTGTCTTTTATTATTTATTTTGTTCTTCATTAATCAAAGGTTTCATTTATATAAAATGATTAACGATCTGGAATACAAATCGGAAATAGGAACCGGCTATTCAAATAATCAACACTGTTTAGTCCAAAAACTAAACAGTGGACATTTGTAACATAAAATTTTGAAATGTACTGAAACACTTCATGTTTTAAAATTTGTGTCTACAATGACCACAAAGAAATATTATGAAAAGGTCATCTAAGCTATTTGGAGAAGAGGGGAAGATAAAGAAGAATTGAACGCGAATAAAATGCAGAACAATTTTGAGCTTCTGAAGCTTATTCAAATGATGAATGCAGTTTCAGTAATGTAAATCTTGTATTTTGCACTGCTTGATTGTGATTTGATCAGATTCAGGACTCCACTTTGCATTTGCTTATATATGCCAGTAGCCATTTTTATAATGTTAATAGTGGCGGACATGCATATACAGGGACCAGGATTAGGCTTAGATTAAGTTAATTATCTTTAGAAAAAGATACAGACCTCAATCAGGCATGTTGCTCCTTCTCCATCCCAAGCTATTGATTTTGCAAGACCTTGCATTACCTGAAAGAAGTACACCAAATTCTCAGTAAATTCAGCCCAGAGCAGGTCAAACTAATTTTAGAAAAATCCAGGCCTGTAAACTGTCATGGACCATCTCATGAACAGCCCTGCCAAGAGGAAAATATGATCCTACAATGAGGGGCATTTGTGCTTGGAAGGAGATCAAAAAAGGGCCAACCTAGAAGTAAAGATAACCCCACTGAAACATTAGTACCCCCTTCCTCATGGTTGGAGTTCAATAACAAGACAAGGCCAATGCCGGTGGAAACTAGACAATATCCCTTCTTTATCTTAGATCCATGCTGGGAAAATCTACTGCCATCAAAGCATCTAAGACACTTTTTTCTTTAGATAAAAGACATTCAAATCATAGTACCATGAGAACTGGGGGCAAAAAAGAAAGTAAACATGAAAACCTTGCCCGCTGAGTTAAAACAACAATAAATCAAAAAATGTCACATAAAGTATTGGAAGATATACAGATTTTTCACAAAACAAAACTGTGAAAAGTTGAGTAGGCAACAGTAGTATAAGATGCAAGTGATTCACACCACTGCAGTAGCAAGGTGTAAACCAGAAAAGCATGCAAATTGTTTTTCACAAACTCATTAATGATATTCTTAAGCAGAAATCTTAAATCTGGCAAACTAAGGCTGTGCAGCGAATCCACCGGCCCGCTAGAACCGCCCGACCCAACCCAACCCATAACAGATGGATGCGTGGCATGTGGCAGGCGGGTGCGGGCCCAGTTTTTGTGTTTTCCTGGGTTCGGGCTGGGTGGCGGGTGATCCGCCATTTTACCCAGCAAAGCCGACCCGCCCATGTCACCTTTTTTTTTTAATTCTTTTTTTTTTTTAATTTTAAATTTATATATATATATATTTCTTTTACGCCTCAGCCCCTTTTCTTTCTGATACACCTCAGTTTTTTACCCTAATTTCTTCGACAGACAGATAGACACAACATAACACAAACACAACACACACAGACACTCTCTCTATCTCTCTCTACCCTACCCATCATCCGACGTTCTGAACGGCGATCGATCTACACTAAATGGCGATCTAAACTGAGGTATCCCTCTCTCTCGCTCTCTCTCTCTCTCTCTTCTTCTTTCCTCTTCTTCTCTTCTCTTTTTCTCTTCCTCTCTTCTTCTCCCCCTTTGCTGGGTTTTTGATTTTTTCACCTTTCCCCTTTTGTTTGGTTCCCGAGAAAAACTACTGCAACTTTCTCAAGAAAATACATGTTCACTATTCGGTAATTGGATCTGGTTGTTTAATTTTGTTTTATGATTTGTTAGTAGGTGAACGTATTTGGGTTAGTTTTTTCTAGTAAAACACATCTGCTTGATCTTATGACTGTCTTAAATTTGGGTTTTCTAGATTAGAATACAGGCGATTCGGAGAGCTCACGAGAATTGCTTTTCAAGCTCAGGTTTTGTGCCTGAAGTTTTAAGACGATGCGTGTTATGATAGTGTGTTATGTAAATCATGTAGGTTATATGATGGTGTGCTTTGATCTTTGTTCACTGTGTTTGTGTCTGCTTTCTTGATTTTCTTGAATTGGTTCTATCACCACCTTCACATCTGCATTTTTTGTTTTGGGTGTGGCTTTACTGTTACTTTCATGACTTGGGTTTGACATAAAAAATTTGCATTTAGAACTTCAATTTGATCCCAAACCTGATTATCCAGTGAATTTCCCTGTTTCAGTATAGTTTGGTGAGCAACTGTAAATCATTTTCCCAAAATTGTCATCTTTTTGCCAACATTTCCTTGATTTCTGTTTTCAAATTAAAATATATGAAGTATATTCTACCTACCCTGAAGTTCATCACTATTGTATCAGATTTTCAGTATCAATGGAGCAATAATTGTGGCCTTATGTTGATGTTTTGTTTAAGCAAAATGCTTGATGTTGGAGTATTTACCAAAATAAATAAATAATAATAGAGTTAAAGTAAATATGGGTAAGAGTCACCACCGTGAAAAAAGATATCAAATTTACGTAATTCAGCAAATTAGCTTGCATTCACAACGGATATCACCCCTCGTCCAATATATTAAATATGTATTATATATCACATTTCCAAATATATAAATATCACAATTCCCCTTATTTCTTAGGTTACAGAACTATGTTTAAGCTTGTAGCAGTAGAGGAATAGCCTGCTTGTAGCATTCCATTTTTTTTTCCTTTCTCGTTCATTGTTTTTTACTCACTGGATCATGTACAAAATCATAGTCAATCTTTCATTAAGAAAGAAAAATAAAAATGGTAAATAAATTAACTATGAAATCAATTTATTAAGAATGCTTCTTCATAGGATATTGAGAATGCTTCTAGTTTCTGTGGATTTGAAAAGTATATTTTGAATGATTTTTTATTGAATTTTTTGGCAGTTTCTTTGATAATCTTTTGGTCATGGATCCTCCAAGGGAAGAAACATTTTTTGTGAGTCCGGATGCTGAGCCCGAATCATCTTCTATTGACCCCTCTACCCAATCTAATGCTCCCCCTCCTAGACCACCCCTGGCCAAAACTAGTAATAGTGGGAGAACAACATCAAAGGCTTGGAATCATTTTGAAAAGATTAAGGGTATTGATGGGAAAGATAGGACTATACGCAAGTATTATAAGAAAGAATATATGGCAGGGTTTAAGAGTCATGAAACAAGTAATTTGTTAAGTCATTTGAAAAATTGTACAAAGTATCCATATAAGGATCCGCCATCGACAACTCCGCCGCGGCTTCCCTCACCAAGTCCGCCGCCGACGAAGCCGACAAAGCCATCGCGATCGACCCCAAGGATGTCGCGAGAAAATCTTCTCAGTTTATGAACTCTCCATTCGGCGGACTCGGATCACCGGCCTCGAATGCTATTGAAGTTAACAAGGATCGCCAAATGCAATCTGCCGAACAGTTGGTGCTCGATCTCAGCATGGGGTCTTCCGGTGGCCACTCCATAACCATAAGAAGTTTTGCTACCGACATGGCCGAGGAAGGCGGCGACCTCCAACATCCCCATTTGCTTACCGCCGGCGGTGATGAAAGACTTGTAATCCCAAAATCCCACGGCGTGTGCCACCGGCGCGTTCCTCTTGGAGAAGAGATTCTCAAACTGTCTTGGTCCGTATCGGTACCGATGAATCTCCATCCGCAATGCACTCAATCGCCATTGCCAATACCAACGTCATTGCCAAAACCCACCATTTGGAATCCATTTTTCTTTGAGACTAAAAGAAGTCACCTTTATTGCTTATTTTGAGATCTGGGTTTGGAAATTTATTTTGTTCTTTGGGTCGAAGGAAAGAGAGGCAGAGAGAGATGGGGCAAAAGAATGGAAAGGACCCATGTTCTTTGATTCTTTTTCACTCTTTCTTTATTTATTTCTTTTAATCCCTTTAACACCACTAGCTCATCCGCTCGAGTCCCCACTAAAACTTAGCTGCACCAAAATATTTTTTTTATTTCATTTCATAAAAAAAAAAAAAAAAAAAAAAAAAAAAGTTTTCAGCAAACCAAAAAAAAAAAAAAAAAAAAAAAAAAAAAAAAAAAAAAACCGTGGGCCAAGAAACCCACGTGAACATTACACCATCACTGGTTTTTCAATCCATTATTTTATTTTTTATCTTTTCTTTATCTTTTTTATTCTTATTCTTATTATTAAACAAAACAAAACAAAAACCACACCAAGCACATTCCACATCTCACAATCTTTGTTTTATTTCTGTTGGGATTAACCCCGTTCACTATTTTACACCACAACCCCAAACAACCACAACCAAAAAAAAAAAAAAAAAAACCCAAAAAAAAAGGACCCCCTCGAGGGTACCCCCAAACAACTGGGCAAAAAGGAATGGGACTAAGGCTCAAACAACCTGTAACAACTCTGCCCAAACATCCTAAAACTCAAATACGAAGAGTAAAGGACGAAAAAGAGAATATGACAACAACTCATCCACCGAACCGAGTCTGGAATACAAAAAGAATAAAGGGAGGAAAAACCGGGATTGCTATACATCAAACACATACATACACATAATTTCAGCTGGAGGGAGAGAAAGAGAAGAGAAAGTGTAAGCTTTGAGAGGAGGAAGAGAGTGAGCAATCTTGCACAAACAACCCTTCTAAGTAAACAAGTAAGCCACAACACAACCCTCTCTTTTATTTTCTCATTCAAATACACGATATTAGAGGCTTCAAGTATTAATTTCAGAAGTGTATACATGGTGTTCATGTGTTTAAATATGAAGAGTTAAGCTTTGATTGCCACCTTGCATGTATACTCTCTTAAAATGAAACAAAAATATCATTTTTTATCCACTTCCGCATCGGAAAGTTCAACGGAGCAAAACCAGAGGTGTTTGGTTGAGGTTCACGGGCCACCACACCAGTTGTCTCTCTTGTTGACTCGTTGAGGTCTGGAAAGAGAGTGAGCAGACCACGAGAAGACGAAGCCATTTTCTGGGCAACAGCGTGTTACAGCGAATCTCTCTCAGAAAACGAAGAGTTTTTCAGAGGTTTCTCTCAGTTTTTTTGTCTCAGCTTTTGCCTCAGCCTCAGCCTTCATCTTGGTTAAATAGCCAAGGCCGACACGCGCATCATGCGCCGCTCGGCGCTCGACGACACCTTGGCACGCCTTTTTATGGATTGGGCACGCCTTTTGATGGCACGCCTTTTGAAAGATTGGGCACACCTTTTGAGGGTGCGACTTCTCCAACGGTCCGACATGACCCCATAAACTGTCCCGACATTGATTCCGGTTAGCTTCTCCAACGGTCTGCCACAACCATACAGTGTCCTCTACAACGTTATGACACCACCATACAGTGTCCTCTACAACGTTATGACACAACCATACAGTGTCCTCTACAACGTTATGACACCACCATACAGTGCCTTCACCAACGGTCTGACACGACCATACAGTGTCTCTTATCCTCTTTTATTTTTATGTATTTTCTTGTTTTGTTACTCTCTCCAAACTCAAGTTGGTTAGTTCCTATCCCCCTTGAGTTTGCGAGGGACTGTTAAAACCTATCACCTACCACCAAACCTACCATCACCTACTCCACCTACTACACCTACCACTTCACCTACTCCCCTTCACCTACTTCACCTACTACCTTCTGCTCTTCTATATATATGAATCATTGTAAACATAACAATACATCAATCAATAATACATCATTTTTAACAGATACTCATAGGCAACAATCATTGGGATTTCAACCTAGAGAAATTGGTGGAGAGGAGAGGGTGTTGTTGATGTTGTGGCTAAGTCATTTTCTATAGAAGTTGCTAAGAGGTATCTTGTTGAGATGATAGTAATTGATGAATTATTTGTAGACAGGGTTGGTTTTAAGAGGTTTTGTAATGTCATGCAACCCAAGTTCAAGGTCCCATCTCGATATACCATTGCTAGAGACATTGCAGACATATACACCAAAGAAAGGGAGAGGTTGAAGAAAATTGTGAAATGGCGTAGAATTTGCTTTACCACAGACACATGGACTTCCATACAAAATTTGTTATTTTTTTAACAAAATTTGTTATTCCTTAACTTTTTTAACTCATCTTCATATAATAAATGGACTTCCATACAAAATTTGTGTTATATGTGTCTAACTGCACATTTCATTGATGATGATTGGAAGTTACAAAAGAGGATCATAAATTTTTGTCAAGTTGAAGACCACAAAGGAGAGACTCTTGGTAAAAAAATTGCGACACTCTTAAAAGAGTGGGACATTGATGGCCTTTTTACTTTAACTGTTGACAATGCGAGTTCCAATAATCTAAGCATTAGATTCTTGAAACGAACCACAAAACCATAGAAGGGAACTGTCTTGAACCATGAATTTTTATATATGCGTTGTTGTGCGCATGTTCTAAATCTCATTGTTGGTAATGGATTGAAGGACCTTGAGTCTTGTATAGCGAATGTGAGGCATGCAGTGAGGTATGTGAGGTTTTCTCCAAACTGCCTGGACACTTTTAAAAAGTATGGGAAAAGTTTGAAAATTGAGCGTAAGAGTCTCTTGTGCCTAGATGTGCCAACACGGTGGAATTTCACATATCTTATGTTGAAGGCGGTGGAAAAATTTGAGAGTGCTTTTTAAAGAATGGGTGAGGAGGACTACAATTATAAACACTACTTTTTGGATAATGAAGGGGGTGAGTGGACAGAGATGCTTACAGCCGAGGATTGGGATAATTGTAGAGTGTTTTTGAAATTTCTTAGAATGTTCTACAATGCAACAAAGAGATTTTCTGAATCTTTATTTGTTACTTCAAATACATTCTACACTGAAATTTTTGTCATTGAAAATATGATTGGACAATTAATCAAAGACAATGATCCTATTTTGGCTTCAATGGCAAAGAAAATAAAAGAGAAGTTTGACAAGTATTGGGGAAATAGGGATAAAATTAATCTCTTTTTGTATGTTGCGGTTGTGTTTGATCTTTGAAGAAAAATGATATACTTGCAATTTTGTTTTTCAACAATTTTTGCTGGAGATGTGATAAAAGTGAAAGAAATGTTACAAGGTGAAAAATTGTTTGAGTCAATTGTATAATCATTATGCCACGCTTGATTTAACAAATGTGCATGCCTCCAATGTAAATGAAACAGTAGATATGGTGATAGATGAAAATAACCCATACTCTATTGTGAACTCTCAATTTAACTCATTTTTTGAGGGGCAATTTTGTAGTAGTGGGAGTATGTCGAAATTGGACAAGTACTTGAGTGATATTGAGAAAGGTGGGAAGAATGGTCAATTTGACATCTTGGAGTGGTGGAAGATTAATGCAACAAAGTATAGAGTGTTATCACTTATAGCATGAGATGTGTTGGCAATTCCTATTTCCACTATTGCTTCTGAGTCGGCTTTTAGTATAAGAGGTCGTATACTTGATCCATTTCGTAGTTCACTTGCTCCAAAGATGGTAGAGGTTCTTATTTTTACACAAAATTGGCTCTAAAGTAACATTCCAATATGCCTTCGACAAGCAATGAATGATGTTGAAGAATTCTGTGGTACATGGACTCGCCGGTTTAGGGCAGAGTACCCGTGTCGACACGACACGACACGACACGATATGGGTGCGGGTGTGAGATATGTGTCGGATTTAGCATGATTTTCTCGGACACGGCTGACATGAGAGGAGAAAGAAGAAGGGTTGTTGAGAGAGAGAGAGAGAGAGAAAGGGGGGGCTGAAACTCACCTTTGCGAAGCAAGTCGAGTCGCGAAGCAAGATCAAAGTGCGAACCCAAGTCGCGAACTAGACCGAATTGAAGGAGATCTGAAAATCAACATCTCAAAGCCGATTCCACCCTAAGGCTTCGATTCCCCTTTGGTCTCGACCTCTCTCTCTCTCTCTGTCTCTTCTATCTTCTTCTCTTCTCCTCTCTCTCTCTCTCTCTCTCTCTCTTCTTTGACTGTCTTCTCTTCTTTTCCGTTCTCTTTCTCTAGTTTTTATTTATAAATGATATATTAATATAATGGGCAAATTACCAACACCCCCCTCGAGGTTTGACTAATATACAGATTACCCTCCTGAGATTTGAGAAATTACATCCTGCCCCCTGAGGTTTATATTTGCATAACAAATTGCCTCTTGAGGTTTATATTTGCATAACAAATTGCCCTATAATTTGTTATGCAAATATAACCCTCAAGAGGCAATTTGTAATTTCTCAAATCTCAGGAGGGTAATCTGTATATTAGTCAAACCTCGAGGGGGGTGTTGGTAATTTGCCCATTATATTAATATATCATTTATAAATAAAAACTAGAGAAAGAGAACGGAAAAGAAGAGAAATTTGTTATTTTTTTAACAAAATTTGTTATTCCTTAACTTTTTTAACTCATCTTCATATAATAAATATATTTAAAAAAAATAACTATTCAACGTATTCCCGTACCCATATCCAAATTTGGGTCCATATCCACGTAACCCCAATTTTTAATTTTGAAGTGTTTGACCCTTAGATACGCACCCACCAACACCCGCACCCAAGTCCGTGTAACATGGGAAGAATTTGAACAACAATATGATTTGGGTAATACATTCAATGATTTATTTTGTTTTGAATTTCAGTTATTTTGTATTATTCAAAATTCATTATTTTCACTTCACATGTTTTTCTTGTGTTATGTTTTATGTGTAATTGTTTCGGAATCAAGTTCTTGTTCAAGCCCAAGTCCGGAACCTAGTTTTATTGAAATTTAATATCTTTGGTAAAATACCCCTCCCCTTTGTTAAATGTTGTTAACATATGTTTACTTGTTTTAAGTTTAAGACTTTTTAGTGTTTTCCTTATTAAATAATTTCATTTTTTTGGTTATGCAGGTTTAGATGGCTCATGGTTTGGCTCAAGGAAATTAATGACTTTTTGCTTCTTTTTGGATGACTGTAATATTATTGTTTGGATGTACAATGTTTGTTTGTTGGATGCACAATGTTTTGGAGGATTGTAACCTTTTTTTTTTTTTTTTTGAACTTTAGATGATTTTCAACTTTAACTTTGGATAACTGTAATGAATAATGTTTTTGCATTGCCCACTAGAACTTTGAACTTTGGATGCCCAGCTTGTTTTTGCATTGCCCACTGGAATCAATAAAAATGAATTATGTTGAAGTTGCCCAGGTTGTTGTGTATTGCCCAGCTTATTTTAATTGCCCAGGTTGAACTTTAAATTGCCCAAGTTGAACTTTGAACTTTGGATGCCAAGCTTATTTTTTAGAAAGTTGCCCAGGTTGTGAATATTGTCCAATGTTATGTTTTTGAATTGCCTAGGTTGTTGTGAATGAATATTGCATTGCCCTGGTTGTGTTTTTTAGGAAGTGCACAATTGAATTATGTTGAAATTTTTTTTGAGGAAGTGTACAATTGAATTAGGTTGAAAATTCGTAAAATTTTCAACCGCCAAACCGACTTGTATCCACCCGTCAATCTGCATCTGCCGGATTGGCAGACGGATGTGGATTGATTTTCTTCAATCCGCCAATTTGGTAGACGGATGACAGATTGGGGGTTTCGTGGCCGCAACCGATCCGCGTTCACCCCTAGGCAAAACCATGACAATATTGTATAATCATGTATAATATTTAGGACTGTCATAGATATGTATTTTTTGTATATTTTATGTCGAGGTTAGTCACTAGTGTAGTCTTTAAAAAAATTAAAAAATAAAAAAGGAGAGGAAAATCTCAAAGTTTATTATTTAATAATCATGTATATACTACAAGAAAACCTAAACGGAATAAGGAAAAGACTGATCTACCATCAACATAAAATATACAAAAAATACATCTCTAACAAGGACCATATATCTTGATCGTTCTGTATGAGAATAAAGTTAAAAGAGGCATCTCAACATACTGCATCAAGGCACGATTGCAACTGTTCTGCCTCAGAACTGTTCAAAGAAGAAATCTTGTTTGATCCAGATAACCCACTAGCCAATGCAATAACAGCATCATTCGTACTGGTATCTCCATCTACCTGCAGCAAAACCACAGCAGAACCAGCTTTATACCAAACCTAGTACAAGTAACAAGCCTGAAACCGTACAAGAATTGCAAACTTGTTTTTCTATCAACAAGCACATTTACCTCACAAATAAGCAGGAAAATGAGAAATTACAGAAAGAAATGAGGCCGTGCATGTGCAAATCTGTTACAGGAATATCTTTAGAACTTTTAAAAATATTTCAGTATCAAGACACTGAAAATCCTTCATCATAATTCTCAAACTAAAGACACTTTTCCCAATCTTTTTAAAGACAAATGCGTAATGTGAGGTGTTTTATTCCCCTTGTAAGGTGAGGGGTAAGCTCGAGACATCAAAGCATAAGCATTTTGAATTTTTATATTTAGTAAATAAATAAAATATTGTAATATAATAAAACATATTAAAAATTAAATATAGAGGTGCAATTATATATATATATATATTTTTGATTGGCACCGGGGTGTCCAGATCAAAGCACAACTAACCCCCAGGGGTGCACAGGCCCTCAGCAAGGAGTTTTCCGCAACGGTTAATTCAAGAATTTTTCCCCAGTCCGATGGTCGATTCCCAAGGAATTGTTAGCACCTAAGAGGTTTCGATCTCTAAACCTTGGAGGGAGCACATCCCCAAGACCTAAGAAGCACGAACACTTCTAAGAAAGTGGTGTGTCCGTGTTGCACACTTTCTCGACACGTGCCCGACACTTATCCAAACGTGTCCTATTTTTTAAAAAGAATTTAGACTCAGACACACTTTGGACATTTGGAGGACACACGTGTCCATTACTTAAACATATGTGCCTATTGATAAGACACAAGAAGCTAATTATAAGTTTGAACAAAATAACTTAGAATACGATGATACAAGAAAATTAATGTCAATTTATAGAAATTAGCATTATATTGCATTTATTTATTGTCTTAGAATGATATATTCATATATGAGACATATAATAAATATATAAAATTATATATTCTGAGCGTGTCCCTCATGTGGTGTCTTGAATTTTTTTTAAAATTATCGTGTCGGCGTGTCTGTGTCATATTTGTATCATGTCATGTGTCAACGTCTGTGCTTCTTAGCCCAAGACCCAAGTCCCCTTAAGGCATCGAACATTTCAATGTAGAGAAGGAAGGTTGTCCTCATTGAAAGTGATATTGACATTCTTATTTCAGTTATTGAGCTTCTCACTTGTATCTTAGCTTTGTGTTTTTTCATGGTTGTTCATCCATTTGTTTAGCCCATGGAATATAGTTACAGATGAGGTTGTGTCCCTTGCATGTTTCTCTCATCCCATCCTCTCTCCTATTCTCCCTTCCCATTCTACATCAAAGATTCTTCTTTTTATGTTTAAACCATATATTAGACTAAGTTCAACAACTGAAGACAAACTCTCCATATACGTACTCCTCATATACTTATATGCAAAAAGTATACAAGGCACACTTGAAGCACACACCTTAGACCATGATGCACAAGCCTTTGGGGAGTGTCGCCTATAAATGAAAGACTTGACACATTTTTCCTTAACCTCACTGTTAATGTAAAATGTAAATTGTAAAATGTAAACTACCACCCACCTACCACCTCCACTACCACCCACTCCACCTACCACCTCCACTACCACCTACACCTACTACCATCTTCTCCTCTATATATAGGAATTGTAATATACAGAAATTAATCAACAATCAATCAATAATACATGTATATTAACATGGTATCAGAGCCATAAGATTTAGGCCTATACTCCTTTCTTTCCGGCGGGCAGCCGGCCGGCAACCTTGCCTTCGCTGCCCGCGGGAGTTTTTCAACACATATCACTTACACATACCTCCTACTCCTACAGCTTCTCCTCCTACTTCAAATCAAGCACGAACAGAACCCCTTCGTGATCTCCGAATCGCTGTCGGCTCTGAATCTCATTACTTCCAACCACACCTGGGTCGTACAACCCATGACCCGATCCGATTCCAATCGATCTGACCACCAGCCCCACGGCGGCGGCACCTCCTGTGGTGTCCGCTCCGCCGAGAGGCAGCCCAGCCGGAATCTGAAAAGTGATCCTCCAATCTCTCTTCCCCAAAAGCAGAATCCAAAACCCATAAAAAAAAAATGCCTTCAAATCCATTAAAATCATCATCTCTTGTTCTTCATAGAATCATACACCCACCACACCACATTATCCTCATCATTCCCTCAATACTAATATATATATATATATATATATTTTATTATAATATCTTACCCAAGGCCAAAGGACGATTTCACACAAAAAAAAAAAAAAAAACATAACTCGTTTTAATTTCACAAACTTATCCTTTCTTTATGTCGGGATCAAATCCGATCACACTTTTACACACAAAAAAAAAAAAAAAAAAAAACAAAAACAAAAA